GTTTTAGACCATGCTCGACTTTTTATAAAGAATAACTTTATTCCCAATATTAATAATAAAAAAAGATTTTCATATGCCGCCAATTTACGTAGACAGTTGGTGTCATAGGAAAGCTTTTTTATTACTAATTTTAGGAAAAAGAGTCAAGTATGTGGGAGGTATAAATTGAGAACAACAGAGGACCAAGAATTGAGCCCTGTGTAGCTCCAGTTCTAAGTTTTATAAAATCCGAGTCACAACCATCGATGCTAACTCTCTGCTGACGATCTTCTAAATAATTATTCATTAGTAAAAGAGCATTAGGAGAGAAGCCTATGTACTGTAAAACAGCTATCATTAAATCATGATTTAAAGTATCAAACGCACGACTAAAGTCTAACAACACTGATTATTATCAGCAGCCTTTATAACTATGCAAAATGCATTTTCGAAGGGTTTTGTTTTTTGATCAAAACATTTACAACTGCGCTCCTCCACACAGTGGGAAATACATTCTCAGTGATACAAAAATTGAGTAAGTAATGTATTTCTTTTGTCAAGTGTTTTGTAGTACTTAGTGCATCTTCCTCTCTTGTTTTATTCAGTTTATCTTTCAGGTTCTCTTGCCTTATTTGTCTGAACTTGACGATTGCGGGCTTTTTAAAAAAAAATTTTCGCGGTTTGTATTTATTCACACATGTATATTTCGTCTATCTATTGACGACGTCTGAAACTGATCCGCCAGAATTTATCCACTACCTGAACCAACTGTTAAAATCATTTAACCTTTATATAAATGTGTTTGCAATGTGTATAGTGTTCACACCAGACAGAATCAATACATGTTCCGTACCCATATAGAGACACACAGTTTGTGGGTAAATACTCATTGTGTATCACTTATGGTACGCGCAGTTCGTTGGAAAAAGCTACAAAAAAGTAGCTCGATTTGTAGTAAAACATGAAATATTTGCCCAGGGCTCAAAGTGTTTTAAGCACGCCAAGAAAGTACATTTATTTCCACCTACTTTTAAATATATATTTACCATAAGTGTAGGAAAACTACTGGAAATTTCTTTAAAAACTTGTATTTTATCAAAGGACCATGTATTTTTAATACGATTACAAACGTTTAATGTAGCAAAAATATTGAATTATGGAATTCTTATCAGCACTGCCTTTTAATTCAATCTGTATAATCTTTTTAAACCCCGGAAGTAACAGAAATTTTACTTCTGAAAAACCGTCCTTTGAGGTATTTGAAATGTATTTGCTATTGGTACTAACCGAGGTACTAACTATACCTGAGTTTAATATGGGATTTTGGACCGTTGTCCTTTCTAATATACACTATGGCCCAAAATAAACAGTACTGAACTTATACTTCCTTTATTTATGTATTTATTTAAAAAATACATATTATGTAGACCTAATACATGACACCCCTCCATTGAAAGTTCACAGGATCTCCTCTAATTTGTTGATGCGTTGTGTTGTATTTTTGAAGGCTACTTCTTTTGTCATATGTGTTTGGAAAGGGTTGATATGGTCGTCTTTGACAAATTATGTAAGTAATGTTTATTTTGGGCCATACTGTACTTATTAATTAGTAATCTTGATTGGGATTAATTCGGCTATTTTAGTGGATTACGACCAGTACGGTAAAATACGAGGGGAAAAACCACCTGAAAAAATTTGTATACCATAATTCTACTTCCTTAAATAATTACTTGTACTTCCACTGGAATTCCACGTACTTCCACTGGAATTCCATGTATTTCTATGTACTTCCACCGGAATTCCATGTACTTCCACCGAAATTCCATGTACTTTCACTGGAATTTCACGCACTTCCACTGTACTTCCACGGAATTCCGCTGAATTCAATTATGATTCCAGGTCATTCTATTAATATGCCACCGAATTATTTCACTATCAGGTACAGTGGGAACCCAAGCAAAACGATAGAGATAGACCCTATACAGGGTGAACCACCAGTAACTGCATCCATCGATGTCTGAGGAAATGTGGGAAACATTTGAATATTTGGAAATCTAGGCAGATTTTATGTATCATGTCTTATACCTGAGTCTAAGCGTTTTGACATATTTAAGTTTTTATATTAAAAATGACGTTTGCAAGTTCTGACGCTTAGAATTAGGTATAGGACATGCTACAAAAAATATGTCTAGAATCTTGAGTAGAATCCAAAAATGTAATAACATATAGGGTATACCATTTAAAATAAAAAGACATCTAGCAAGTTTCCAAATGTTCAAATTTTTCCTACATCTAGGTAAAGTTATCGATCTATGCAGTTATTGGTGGTCCACCTCGTATATATATTCGAATCTACAGAACTGAAATTAGACAAAAATCGACTGATAATCAAATCATGAAAAACAGAAACAAAAACAGTGAAAATATATGTCACATAATGTTTCAAATTTTAACTAAAAGTCATTCTATATTTTTTTTAAATCCTCTTAATATATTTTTTCTATTTTTTGCTCATCAAATCTACTAGTTTTGAATGGATGAGAATCAATAGGTCCGTAAATGATGTGCATATTCAAAATATTATCGATATCTTCATTTTTTGTCTACTATGCTAAAAATTTTTGTTTCAATGTAGGTAGTAGGAAATTAAAAAAAAGCTTTAGATTCACAATATTTATTTAAAAACAATATTTAGAGCAAATTGAAAACCAATAACAGCGTGAATGACATTAAATCACAGCGCAAGTGTAGAAAAAGTTAAAATATAAAATATTTAAACTTTTGGCAGCATCGATCATCATAGACCAGCTCAAGTAGTGCCGGTATCGTTTGTTTAGTTGTTATGTGAAAAAGTCATAACACAAAGACGCATGCGCCATGTGGTGGAATTTTATGCATATTTCCACGGAATTCCACTGGTATTTCACCGTAATTCCACTGGTATTTCACCGGAATTCCACTGGTATTTCACCGGAATTCCACGAACTTACACCAGAATTCCACGGACTTACATTGGAATTCCACGGACTTTCTCATTCTTCCACTGGAATTACATCAATTTGTACACCATAATTCCAAGGTGGTTTGCCCCTCGGTAAAACCAGAGCTGTTCAACATCAACAACAACGATGAATATAAATAAAATTATACAGAATTCAAAATTGACATCCTCGACTTTGAAGCCTTGAACACGTGCAAAAAATCAACAGCTAGTCTTCATAACATAAATTTTTGATGCAAGGTTGTCGGTTCTACTGAAATAAAAAATTTTTTTAAAGAGTTTAGTTTTAAAACTTACTAAAAAACTGCCGAATTACTTGTTGCCAAATTGTTCAAAGAGTAAATCTGAATATTTTTGTTCTGAAATGAACGAGATCGCTGTTGAATAACTTAAACAACAAAAATCATGACGTAAATTAGTATACTAGCGTTATCTGTGAGCAAATTAAAGAACTATGGCGCAACCTTAATATTAACTGTGAAAATGCTGTTTAATGCTTCATTCAAAAGTGTTAAGTACTAGAAGTTAAGTTTGGTGCATATGATGGATGCTTGAAACCCATTTGATTCATTTAGGTCTTGACAAAATGCGAGTCTCCTAAATCATCAACCAATTAAGGCTTAGTGCAAATTTGGAAAATAAAGAGGTCGTCAAAATATAATCTTAACAAAATTTTTCAAAATTCTGAAAATTTTGTTGCTATCTACTGTACCTATATAATAGAAGTAAGCCCCTCTTTTCCCCCAGATAACTAATTTTTTTAACCATTATCAGAATTTTGAAAAATTTCTTATACTAACGCACCCTATTTTTATAATATATATACCAAATATTTTTAGCTGTAAGTTTCATTTTTTTTGTTTTAATTTCATTATGTTTTGTTATCGTTGTGGTGGGGTTATAGATAGAATTTTCGTGGTGTTAGGTATGACTGATATATATGGTACAATATTTTTTATAAAAATAAATTAAATTTTTTACTATTGTTAATCATTAACAAAAAAAAAATGTTTTCACTAAAAAATATTTTATATAGTTAACTGTGCAATTCTGATTATTTTGTTTGTTTAAATTATATTTAGTGGAATATAGAGTGTATATTGTAAGAATTGGTGTTTTATTTCTTACGAGCTAGAGCGAAATACTTTTTTACTTAAAAAATCTAAATAATAGCAAAAACATTGTTTTTTGGTCATTGACCAAGATAACTTAATTTTTTTTGAAAATGTTTCGATTGCCTCTATCGCTATTTCTTCTTTGAAGTAGAAATGATCTATTTTTTTTAAATATGCATTTTTGAACATATTTTGCCTACACTTGTAGACAATATTTTTATGCAAATTGTGTGTAATTTTTTACACTATTCCCTGTACCTACATTTATATTTTTTATTAGTTGTGCTAGCTTAAAAAACTTAATGTTTTTCGAGAAAAACGAAAAACTTTATCAGTGAAAACGTTATTACAAAATCATTCGAAAATTTAGTTGGCCATGCTTTTAATAAAATGGATTTTAGTTAGAATACAATTAAAGAAATTGTTGGAATTTATCTCCATTTTCTCTAAGGCACAAATTTATTCTTTGCCAGAAATTAACATCTACCCTGCCCAATAAATTTTCCGTATCAAAATTGGCTACTATAATATCCTTATCCTATCCATCTATTTGGGTACTGGAAATTTAAGTCTCTAACGGCATGACTAAAACGAGGCGGCGCACCATCATGCATGAACCAATGATCCAATATAAGTTGTAATAGTGAATCATCAAGAAAACCTGGTAGAATATTTTGCAAAAATTCCAAATAATTTTTGACTATTAGTCGATTTGGAAAAGATTCAATTTGCACAAAAAAAGCCCAAAATTATAACTTTAATAACTTTAGTACAAGTACAAGTACCACTATTGGAAAAGTAGTACTCCTTCAGTTTTCCAACTGGACATCCTCGCCTTTTAACACGCCATTTTTTTATCAATTCCCACGTTGTTCTTCCTCATACTAACGCTTTTTATTTTTTAGGTAACAGCGACCCAAAATTCGGCGGTCTTCCCCCCCATTTGGTCCTACCGATGTTACTGATGAAACAGAACATGAAAAACGCTATGCTAGGAAATCTTAATATCACCAGAGTGAAATCAGAATATTCGGACGAACCAAAAGTGTTTTGTCCTGCCTGTGGACGTGGTTACAAACTAAAGAGCTCCCTCAGGAACCACATGAAGTGGGAATGTGGCAAGGAACCGCAATTCAAGTGTCCACATTGTTCCTATAAAGCTAAGCAAAAGATGCATATCACCAGACACATCGAAAGGATGCACAAAGTGATTGATTATTCTTCCGTTAAGAGAGAGAACGCTGACACTGGTGAAACCAGCGTGTTACCTAATGTATCTATATCGCCTGTCAAAATGGATGATAGCGTCGATCCTAATATATCATCTTAATAAAATTATGCTTGGTTTGGTAATTTATGCAAGTTGGTAATTTTTAACAAAAATATAACTCGAGTAACATTTATATAGAATAGCTGACAGAAATAATGTTGGGTTGGAAATGGGGTGTTAATACACTACGACCTAAAAGATCTGTTGTGCCCTCTTCTGTCGCTAATGCAACAAGAAAATGTCGTGATGCCTATAACGACTCTTCCATACTTATCATCTTAAGGAAGAGTAGGATTTGGAGTGGATTTAAGTTGGGTAAATCACTTCCTTCTATTTGATATGCTCCTAAGTATAGTGCTCTTAGATTCTTGAGTGCTACACATTCAGTCAGTATGTGAATGAAGGTTTGTTCTCCTCACAGAATCTGCACTGTCTATCTTCTACTACTCTTAGTTTAATGAGTTGTTCTTTGACTCGGCAATGCCCAATGCGTAGCTTGTTTTTGCTCAAGCAGATAAAGACTTCTAATATTTTCTGGTTTTGTTCACTCAGAATTATATTAGTCTATCTTAGCCCTAAGAAATTGGTCCAATTGTCGTTTCTTCTACTGCCTAATTCTTGTTTAATCTCGCATAATATTGTGTTACTGCTGATACCGCAGAACGGCTTAGATCCCACAAAGAGTGTTTGAGACTCTTTCCTTGCGAGACTATCTGCAATCTCGTTCCCCTTTACCTTGTTATTTTCCGGGACCCAAGTGAGAAAACCTGGTAAAATATTTTGCAAAAATTCCAAATAATTTTTGACGGTTAGTCGATTTGGAAAAATAACTGATTCAATTTGCACAAAAAAAAAAACGCCCAAAATTATAACTCTAATAACTTTATATAGCTCATTACAAGGATTAGGATCGCTTAGCTCATTCAGTGTTTGTCCTAGACATCTCCAGACCATTTTTGAGCTTGGCTTTCGGACATAATGATAATATCTTATCTACGATAGTTTCTCTCTACGGCAAACTGGATACACTTCTCAATGGCGTGAATTTTCGCCTGAAAGATGCTTGAGTATTTTCTCAAACTTTCAGAGTTCCCATTTACTCCTATTCCAGTTCCTTCTATAGTTTTGGAACCATCCAGTTACCACCGAATAACATGACTTTCGGGTGCAAAGACAATGGATTCTTGGCTCCATTTTTTCTTGCAATTCAGCTCTGTTAAAAACTGTACTTCTTATTATTTCTTCCTGGGGCATATCCCAAGTATCTTCAGTCCTGAAGCTAGAAGACTTTCGTCTGATTACTCCGTTCCTGATCATTCTATATCGTGTTCTTTTTTCCACGTTCTCTATCATTACATGTAGAGGGGCGAGGTTTAAGATCACCTCTATTGCGGCCGTATGACAGGTTCTCATTTCACCGGTGATACAAACACAAGCTACTCTTTGTTCTTTTAGGATATTAGCTCTCGTAGTAGCTAAACTAGTTCTGTTACTCCAGACAGAAACAATATTTTAAGAGGAATACAATTTGTAACCTCAATACTTTTACGGTTCTTAATAATACCAGAACAGGTCCAATTTTGTGTAAACAATATTGACTCTGTTCTAGATTAAATATAGAGAATTTGTATCTTTAATTTCTACCGCGACCAATTCACATCTGCTGTTGACATTCTCTTTTTATAGTATATTATCTAGCTTTCTAACTGAGCACTGGTATACATAACGCATATAATGGGGTCTAAAAACAATCCTTGTGGTACACCGATATTTATGTTTTTTTTTCTATGTATGAACAGAGTTATTTACTTGAATTGTTTCTAAAACATAATATTGTCAATTGACATACACAGTTACATTTAAACAAAAAAAAGTTAAGGGGTGATTCAAAAAACTTATCTTTCTGTAATTTTGAAAAAAATCGAAGTCTATTAAATGTTCAGAGAAAAACTGTCAAAATATATAGGGTGCTTCATTAAAAATTATTGTATTTCGACAAAAACACGAAAAACTAATATCAGGTAAAAAAATAACCAATGACAGCATTAACAATAAAAATGTTACTTGAGTTTCTTATATTGAATTTTTCCCAAGACACATTATGTCCTTGCATGAAACACTAGACCTAAAGCAAATCCTAAAGCACGTGTTTAAGGACATCACAAATAAGAATATTTTCTAAACGTTTGAGTAGACAACGTATTTCAAATCGACAAAAAAACTATATTTTCGAGGATACCTCGTATATTATTAGACCTAAAAATCTGCCTTAAGCTTCGGGTGTGGTTATTAAATATTAGACATATTTTTGCCAAATATATGAGAAGAAATTTAAAACCTTTTGGATGATGGGTTTGGATAAATTTTATCATCAGCTCTTTTTCTTTTGCTTTTATTGTACAGGGTGATTTAACAACATTTTTGAAAATAAGTCGATTGAAGATAATCGATCTTTATAAAGAAAAATTTTAATTACATTTTTGTTACACCCTGTAATAGTAAAAAAATATTCCTATCATGTTTGATTGGAGAAAAAATTATTATAAAAAACAAAAAACATTCCACATACATATATTTTGTAAAAAAATCTTGTCTATATTATGTTATATTGTGCTTGGTATTATTGTTTTTTAGAATTTAGCAAAAATACTCGTTAGAATGTTAAAAAATGCTTTTTTTTATTAATAGTTACTATAATATAGTTACCTACTATTTTTATATTAAGTTATACCTGCAATAATTGCGATTGGGTATCTCTATAGTTACTTTTTCTTTAAATTGCCGATCAGCCTTAGTATCAATTTTTGAACAAACAAAAAATACGTATAAGTAAATATTTTTTTTATTTAAGTATATTAATGAGATATAAGATCCTTGTAAATTTTTAGTTTAAAATAACTCTTCTTTATTTTTACCCTGTATCTGCCATTAGCCCTTCTAGTTATTGTCATGTATGTAAGTCTTTATAATTTGGTCTTGTCTTGTTTAAGTGCCATATTTTTTGAAAGACTGGCATCATCATTCTTTTCTGAAGTAATGTACTAAAGTAATGTCACGGTCTGAGGTTGTTTGACATTCCCTATCTGTTTTGCACAAATTCATCTACACATCATGTGACAGTTTTCTCATTTTGAATGTTTTCTCAACAATTCATCATTAGTCACTTTATCATCATAGCTATTTTTTATGGTCCTTCTTTTGGTTACTATTAGGGATCTATTTCACAACAGGCGCTTTACTTTTTCGTTGGTGTAAGATATTCTCTTTTCTGGGATTCTTTGATTGTGTAATTTTTCTGATCAAGAAAAATATTTATCAATTCTTCACCCAAAAAGAAAAATCTTCGAATGGCATCTTGCTGAAGAATTCATGTTCACAGGGTTGCCAGATATTTTTCACCAGAAATAGCCAAAACTACGATGAAAAGTAGCCTAAAGGAGCCGGTTATGCAACCAGTGATACTAGAATTTGTTCGTAGTTTAAAACAGTTGATTATTTTAGTTTGCGCATGCGCCGCAATGTATAAAATCGAAACAAATTCAAATTGCAAAAATAACTTACAAAATCACAGCTAAAATTGTAGGTTACAAACAATATTTAAAGTGCACATGACCCTGATTAAAAATTTGGAGAATAGTCATTTCCAATTCACTAAATTTTTTACTAGGAACTCCCAGCTAATAATCATAGAACTAATAATTGGAAACTATCAGTGATTCTTCTATGAACGCCAAATATTCAATGCGAATGCCATTTGCAGTTTAAAACGGTTGCTGATCGCTCTACAAATAAAGCTATTAATACAAAGTTAGGTTTTTATTCCAAACCATGACTTTTTACCTATTTAAATAAAACTACTATTTACAACAAAATAAGTATATATTAATAACAATATTTATATTATACATATATTAAATTTTAATATTATGTTTGAACTTCTTCCCAAACTTCATCGTTAAGTTCTCTCTCATTATCTGTCATATTATCGTTCATAATATTCAAATACATTTGAGATGTAAATAATATCATCAGTATTTTTGTTGGTTTAAAACCTTTACAACAACCTTTTGAATGAAAATAGAGCCTAACTCTTAAAATTACATCTAAAAGTGTAATTTTATTAGAGTATATAATTGTAACGCCTAATTTTTTTAGGGGATATAATTGTAGCAACTAATTTTATTAGGGGATATAATTGTATTTCTTTAATGTCAGAAAGTCCTTCGAGAAAGTAATTAGAATAGGTGTAAAAGTACGAGGAGGCCGCAGGTTTTTTGTTTATTATTACAAGTTTGTCTGATGTTTCTCATTTCAAAGCATTTTCAGGTACATATGAAGTTTTTGTTTACATTTTTCTTGAAAATGGTTGGAGTTATAAAGTTTAAACGTAGACTCCATGCAAAGAACATTGCAAGGTAGCTTTAAGAAACAAATAACACTTTTAATCGGCAACTAAAGAGCGTTACGTAACATTTAGCTCCATTTAGAGAAATTTCAAATACAATGCTATAACTGTGACCAGCTTACAAGACGGCAAAGAAGGTAACTTATGGACCTGTCAAAACGGCAAACTGATATCTCTTGTCGTTTCAAAGATATAGGCATTTTTTTAAATTTTGAAGAATGTGGGCTCCCCCTGTAAGTTATAAGAGAAACTATGTTGTTAAAAGTGTTCTCAAAAAATATCCAAGAAAATAACACAAATATAGGTGTCTTTATCGACCTTGCAAAGACGTTCGACACTATTCCAGCATTACTTACTGGGATGCTTAAAAGTCCTAATACGGTTTTTGCCAAAAAATAAAATGGCTTTTCCTTAATAGCATTTTCATAATTAAGGACTGTTGTCAAAAATTTAATGGTGTCATTGACATCAAAGTCAATCCAACTGACATTTAGCAAATTTCTCCATTGAATCTCTAGATGACATAAAATGGTTTCATTAAAACAAAAGGTATCAATAGGCAAATCTGTAAATGTAGGTCGGACTTGGTTAAGACATATTCTTGGAGAAAACATTTTTAATTTTTCTATTATCATCATATTTTCAGGAATTTTATTTATCAGTTGATGACATAACTGGTTTATGAAATTAAAACATCTTTGCTTCAAATTTATTTTTTCTTCCACACTGAAAATTTATTTAGGAAAAACATCCCAAAGTCTACAGCACTTAAAGGTTCATAGGCTAACTCGTTATTCTTTTTAAGTTATCATATATTATTTCCACATCAACATTTTCATTTTAAAAAAGCAAATTACATTGATTCAATTCTTTTAAAATGGGCTTTAAAAAAAATAAGTAAAGATAGTTGTTTTCGTCTTTATACATATAAAGTACTCGACTGGTATAGCATTTTTCATTTAGAGGTGCTATATCAAAATGAACCTTTAACTCAACCCACTGTGTTAATGTTCTGTCCACACAGTTGTGTCTAGAAAGCAATCTAGTAGTTGCCAGCTGGACCAAATTTAAAGGCTTATTACTTATTAAAGTATATATGGTTTCATAATTTAATCTTCTTAATGGACTATGTGCGAACCAATTATAGGTCTCCCTAATAAGAAAATCTAGACTTGTGGGTAACTGTTCTGTTGCTTTTGAAGCACAGATGGATGGAATGGCATACACATTTAACTAAAATTAAATTTGGATTGTCATTTTTAAGCAGAGTATACAAAGAATTGTGTTTTCTGCATAAACTGCACCATCTGTGTCTAACCCAATTAGGCTTTTAATATTCAATTTATAGTTAGCAAGAAACCTTCATAAAGATCTTCTGCTCTTGTTCTCCCTACTTTAAACATACCCAAATATTCAGTGCACATAACATTTTTCCTGACACTAAAATATCTAATGCCATATACTTATGAACTGAAATATCTGTTGATTCATCTATGATGAGAGAATACAGTGAATCTCCTACATCTTCAATAAGATCACTAAGTATAGCTGAAGCACAAACATTTTTTAATATACTGGAACACTTTGTTCTGTAAAGCCTTAAATCTTTTGTTTTAATGCCAATATTGTTTATGATTTCCCCTAAATGATCAATGGATCGGATTGCAGAATGCATAGCAATATAGACTGCTAACTGTAATTCGGCAATTTTTGTCTGGTCAGTTATTGTGGCAATTGAGGAGACACTTAAAATTAATATTAAAAAAATTTTTAAAATACTTGATTACCCATGCATACCCAATGAACTTAATTCCAATTGACCTTTTGAAGTTACATGCAAGTTTTTTTTTGATTCATTAAATGTATTTTTGTTTTGGCATGCTTGGATGGGTCATTTCTTTGGGGGCTAAACTCAGATTTACAAAATTTGCAAAAGGCACCAATTTTATTTTTACTTTCTTCCAACCATCCTAAAATGCACCATACAAAAAACATAACTAGATTACAAACCAAAACCAAATTAGTCGAATTATTTTTATTACATTACCTTTAAACTCCTTTTCTTTTTCCTAATCCTTATTATAATATTTTGTGTATTTTGCATACTTTCCAGTAGGTCCCTTCGATTGTTTTGGCATTATTAATTTAAAAATAGTAGATAGTAGGTAAAACAAGATAATCCATAGTCTGTTGTTTGACGCTGAAAGTGCACTCAGTGCACACTAGTTATGGATCTCGCATTTCGCCATCATAAAATAAGCGGCAAAGAATAAAACTTTAGCCATCTACTATTCAAAAATAGCCCACCCTAGGAGCCTGGAGCCAACAACAATGTTCAGTAGCGAGACCGTCTCTTAAGATAGTCCAATCTGGCAACCCTACATGTTCATGCCAATGACTGTTAATTTCGGATCATATAGTATCTTCAGATGAATAATTTTCAGTCATACCAACAGGTTGAAATGTTAGAAGAATTTTTACAATTTATTTTACTTTTAAGAATCAAAAGATATTTTTTATATCCTAATCTTTAAATATTTTGAATCTGAAGATTTTCATCATAAGGATTAAAATTTTAAGATTTGTTGCTAATTATACTACTTCTGTTCAACTAGAACAAATTGTAATTTCTTTTAGGTATTTAGGTTTATAGATGTGGGATATAATTTCTTTCTGGTACTCATATTGTGCTACTGCAAAGGTTTATCAAGACTCCAATTCGTTACACTTGGAGCTACACCGTAGAGCTAGTTCCTAGTCTATGGAGTCTACTACAAAAGACTAACTAGACAAAGGTACTCTAACCAATTGGTCCTAATTCGTTGATATTATTAATGCCTAACTTATTTAGAAGTTTTGTTAGATTATTATGGTTCCATTTCTTATTAGTCCATCTACTTCTCCATCAATAATTTTTAAACTTTTTCATTTTCATACCTTATTTCATAATTAATAAAATTAACTGTTTCAAAATTGCACAAATATTTATAGAGGATCTTATATTGAACTATTTTGATTATTATAGTCTAATATTAACCAGAAGAATAATTATATAAAACTAAAAATAACACTCTACAATGTGATAAAAAAGTAATAATACTTCAGTATTATTAATTTGCCAATTTTGATAATATAACTGTTTAATTAATTATTTTTTATTTTTTTTGAGTGATACTTTGGATCTCAAAATTAATATGTAATAATTTTGTTGAATTGATTATCAATTTTGGCAAATTTTTAATAAAAAAATTGTGATATCAATTTTTCCTACTACTGCCTTCAAATGCTGCCTTTTTTTACAATAAATAGTTTTTTGACATTAAAAAACGAACAACTACCATTCAGTGCCTTTTTATAACAACAGTTTTTTTACCAGTTTTTTATATTGTTTATATTTTGTATATTACATTAACGATTTTATATTATTGTAAGTATAGTTGTAATCGGTAAGGTTAATTGTAAGATTTTTTTTTCATTGTTCCAAAAACAGACCTGACGGGTTTCAGAAGATACCAAAAGTAATTTTTGTTAATCAATAAATTTGTTAAAAAAATTAAAAATATTTTTTTCATTACTCAAACAAGAATATTTTTCTTTAAAATTTTAAATTGCTTTTTTTGTGATAGTAACAAATTAAACAAAAAATCCAATGGCGCAAAATTTATCCTTTCTATACTACGCCAGTGGTTAAATATATTTTATTTTTTTGCTTAAAAAATGCATATTCTTAACTTTCTTTAAAAAAACTACTAGTACGATTTGAAAGAAGCATTTAATAAATCCTTTAAGATTTAAGGAAAAATGTATTTTCCTTTCTCAATTAACAATTGTGACAAATTTTACAAGAAAAATCAACATATCTTCTCAATTTTATCCACATTTCACTGTATAAGATGATGTTTTGCACCCTCTTTTGTTCTCTAAAAGTCATTTGATTCTGTTAATTAGCATAAACTTAAATGACGATCAAGAATAAATAATAAAAACGCGGGCCTGGGATGTCTTACTATATGATTATTCAAACAAAAACTACTGGTTGTGATCTTTTTCCGAAATTGAAGCCCTTAGTGTAAAAAGGATGCAAGCCACAATTTTTCGTGAAGTGACTGGTTTAGCTCAAAACATCTATTAACAAGGATACAAGCCACATACAAATTATTTTACCTCTATTTCGGATTGGAGGCACTATTTTTCGTAATATTTATGTTTAAATAATTTTTTTACTTGTATTTTACAGATTTAAAACAAATTTAAAACTTAATTTTCTGAAAACTTACAATGTGGCATGTGTCCTTATTACGCCAAGGTCTTCAATTGTCTGTTATTGGGACATTCAGTATACATTCAATTAAATGACAACTTTATTTTCCTTCAAAACGAAACAGCAGAAGAAAAATCATTAAATATATTTTTTGTATTATTAACTAACTAAAATAAGGATTAAAATAATATACCGGGTGGTATTCATCTTGAGTTAAGTGATACTCGTATACAACGATCAAGAAAATTCCAATATTGTATATTTTTGCTTATTTAGAATCTACGAACCAAAATTTTCATAAATCTATCAAATTTGTACTCAAAATGAGTTTTTTTCATTTCTCTATCCTACCTAATAGGCTGTGATACCAATTCTAGAAAAAAACATGTCCGTATCTTCCTTATATATTAAAAAAAAATAGCTCAATTCATGTTGTTAATCCAAAATTAACATTTAGTTAAAAAATGGAATATAATTTCGAATTCATTTACAAAAAAAGTACTCTTTTGTCGATTTCAAAAAGACATTCGACAGTATTTAAATCTGGGCGGAAATAAAAGCTTTATTATCCACAAAAAATGTTTCTAATGAAGGCCATGACCGACAAAGACAGATGCGAGTCATATCCGTGATAACTACGGCTCGATGACAAAATAGCGCAGGACAATATAGCGCAGGACAATATAGCGCAGAACAATATAGCGCAGGGCAATATAGCGTAGGATAATATAGCGCAGGAAAATATAGCGCAGGACAATATAGCGCTGATAAAATAGCATAGGAAAAAATAGCGCAAGAGAAAATAACGCAAGGACAAAATAGCGCAGGACAAAATAACGCAGGACAAAATAGCGCAGTACATAAAAACGCATGTCAACCGGTATTCTAATTAAAAATAAACTTAACTAATTGGCCTAACCTGGGCGGCCTGGAGCCATATGCAGCAATACTGGCATATTTTGCCACGCGTTAATTTGCTTTACTTTTGAAAAAGCACTAACTTAACTTACTCTAATTAGACAAGGCGTTAATTGGTCTCACTTATTTTATATTAGGCGCTAACTTGTCTCTCATGTGTTTGTCTCGGCGCAAATTTATCGCAGCAAATTTGTTTCGCGCTAAAATGGACCGGATCATAAAATGTGATAGATACAGAACTAGGTACACTTCAAACATTCTCTACATAGGCTTTGTCGGAACAGTATTTGTTACGCATTTTTTTAATGAATTTCATTAATTAAAAAACAATTTTGTTCATTACGCACTATTTGGTCCTTGCGCAATTTTGTCATGCGCGATTTTGTCCTGCGTTATTTTACCCTGCGTTATTTTGTCCTGCTCAATTTTGTCCTTGCGCAATTTTATCCTAGCGCAATTTTGTCATGCGCTATTTTGTACTTGTACTATTTTGTCCTGCGTCATTTTGTCCTGCGTCATTTTGTCCTGCGTCATTTTGTCCTGCGTCATTTTGTCCTGCGCTGTTTTGTCATGGTGCTGATAATTACACATGGATCTGAATTAAATCTAAACTGACATTTCGCTGTATCTGTAACGTAGGGAGGGTGAGTTGCACACTTATGCCTCAATATGTCCATTGTGCATCCTCCTAAATTGATAGGCCTCTCTTAGCTCGTCAGCCAGTCTACACATAAACTGACACTTCAAAAGAAAAAGAATTATGTGCACAGACATAAATTTTTCCAAAGCCTTCTTTAGGGGCATTGAAAACATTTTTTTCTCAAAATTTATATAAAAATTATTTTTATCGAGTTGTGAACAGCTAAACAAACAATTGATAGTTGATCCATACGTAATATAATTCATAGATTCCGAATACGCTGAAATATACAGGGTATTTCATTAATAATATAACCGCTGTGAAACAATAGTAATATCCAAAAGAATTATCAACTTTTTGGTTACTGAGAATAAACAAATTTTGCTCAAATGCGTTAGGAATGAGTTGTCATTGTTTGCAAATCGAAAAAGACAATATATACAGAGTGAGTCATCGTTAAGCTTGTAAACCTCCAAGGTATTTAAAGCACTTTGTAAATCACTCTGTATATTCATAGATATACAGACATTTTTTTAATATGTACATGAATCACTGCCTTATTTACCACAAAGTGCCGTTTTTATACCAGTTTATACGTGTTTATATACATAATTAGGTATTTTCTATTATTGATGCGATATTTTTTATGTATACTTTATATTTGCGTAGGTTTAGGTTTTAGGTTGGAGTATATTGTTGAGTATTTTGATATATATATGTTCCATTTTTCAAAATTTCTATATTTAGTTGAATAAATGATTTTTCTAGTGAAATCTGTTATTCTTTATAGTATAAGCCACACAAGGATTTTTGTTCTTGAAATAACCTTATCAAAATAATTCCAGACGTAACAAAT